GGGGGGGGGGGTGGTGGGGGGTGTGTGTGTCCCTAGCCTCTAGCAATGTGCCTTGCACTTAATGGATACTCAATCAGTCCTTGATGACTAGCGGGATATTCAGTCAGAAACACCTCATCTCAGTCTCCTGAACAAAGAATTATTTGCGGAATTAATTCTACAAGAGGATAGGTGCTACGATCAAAGAAGGGAACAGATATCACTCATTATCTCTTGCACTTTTGATAGTCTCTCAACATGTATTTGAGGTCAACTGGAATGAAAGTATCCAACAAGAGTTAGCCATCAAATATGTTTTACTGATTAGGTATCTATCCATAGCATAAAGTTGTACATTGATCACTATCATAAATACTTGATTATTATTTTAAAAAGGCTGGCGATAACTAAATTAAAATGTCCACATTGTTTACTCTGTGGAGTCATGAATAGTTTTAATTTGCTCTTTTGTTATCTTTATTTTTTCCAAATTCTTCACAATAAATTCAATTATTCTTAGAACTAGGAAAAAATATGAAATTCTAAAAAGTTTTTGTTTCTATTCTGGTAAACCAAATTATGGAAATTTTTAATAGCAAAAATGCCATTCCACGTATTATTTTTCACTTTCGTTAAAATCTAACACGGGCAAGACTACATGCCGGACTGTATATTGACAAGGGTGATACTTAAATAAACACAAACACTACTCATTAAAACTCCTCAAGGATGTTTAAATTAGCATAACAATACTCCATGCATTAATTAAAGCCTGAACAACACATTTCTTCTCTCCACATTGCTTATTGGTGGAGTTGGGAAGCCAGGAGTTACCTGCTTCCATCTTCAGAGGAACCACAAGGTCACAGACTTAGGTTCTTAAAGAATGTGTCTGTTCTTCACGTTGCCTGGTGGATACACTCCTACGATTTCCTAGGCATCCATGTGTCACCAGCAAGAATTCAGACAGATCCTTATCCAATATGAAAACTTTGAGGCAAATTTCCCCAGACAGGTAATGAAAGGTATCTGTTGTTGACAACAATAGCACATTTCATTAAGACTGCTTGGTGGCAGGATATATCCCTTTAAAATATAACTTGGTGGCAAGGAAGCGGTTCAAGAGACATTTGTCCAAAGTAGGTTTCAATACAAAATGGAGACCAGCCACTCTTGCCTTAACCCATTGTGTTTTCTGTAGGTTCTTTCTTCATCCACCTCACACCAACATCTGTCACTTGGGTGAAACTTGATATAGAAAAACGCATTAGCATGGCTTCATCTAAAATCTTTTATGTCTGCTGTTAGTTTTACATCACTTTACATTGCCATCCGGAATTGCTCAATCAAAAGGTTTAGTCGAAGCTCACAGTCTTTACTGATGTGTTTTTTCCCCCCAAGAGTGTTGAAAATTCAATTGTTCAAACTGAAAATATGATTCAGCAAACCATTTATCAGAAAACCTTAAAGAGGTCATGGAAAAATGTGGATTGAGAAACCTGAATTAAATGGGCATGAGCAGTCAAAGACTTTGAAAATGCTTTCCTGTGAATGGCTGGGATGGAGCAGAACAAAGTCAATTACTGACTGTAATTAAGAAGTGGATGCGTTTAAACTGTAGAGAGCAGTAGCAGACTTCTCCAGACTGCCTAGTAACTGGAAAGATTAGTGGGAAGACAGAGGAAAGAATGTGAACTGTATCTTTCTGATAGTAGATTTTGAATGAATTGCATTCGTGTAGTTCTCTGATCCAGCTTCCTCAAATGAATTCATAAATCACTGAGTATGTACGATTAATGCAGTAATATATTTGGATAAAGAAACTTTTAAAATACATTTTGTTTTTGGTTGTGTTGGCAGTAAAAGATCCCCTTTGCATTGCATAGCATGCACCACAAATGCAAATGTACTGGCGAAGTACTTACATTTTATCACTGTTTGAATTTACTAGACTGAAAACTGAACTGTGTTAGCTCTTTCCTAAACCCTCAGAATATAGTAAATCTAATTATGTTTGTTTCTTGTACTTTGAAATGTTTCTTTTTACAATTTTAATAATGGTTTATTTATAATGGCAGAAAAAATATATTAGATTGCATGTTGTGTTTGGGCTAATTCATATTTCTTTGTGTATGTTACCAAATTGTGATGTTATATACTACATTCATAATCAAAATATTTAAAGTTAGATTAGAATGAAGGTAGAGGTCAAGGACATTACTAGTTTTCTTGGGTTAGTCACAAGTGACCTTATATTTTTAGATTAGTATTTCTGTGGCAACACTGTATAAAGTAAATATTTGGAGCTTTATGTAAGTGAAAACATTGCTTGGGTGTTCAGATAATTAGGCAAATATCAGCTTAGCTGTCTTGTAATAGATACATAAAACAGAGGACTATTTAGGGGATATTTTGAGCCTTTTGAAATCTTACATGCATTTCACTTAAAAAAAAAGAGTGGCCCTGGTAGTCTGTCAAATTCTAGAAAATAAAATTCCTCTTATTTTCTAATCTTTCACTTCTCATAATCGCATATACTTGGATAGTCCTCTCCTTACAGTTGTGAAACGTCGCAATCAAGAATGGTTGCACTGCAACACTGAGTGATGTTGCGTCTCTATACAGTTTTTCTAAAAATAAATGACAAGTGAATATATATGTATGTGTGTAATCGAAGATTTCTTTAAAACTCTAGGACCATTGTCATTAAATGTTGTCATAAGAATCATTGAGACCTTCAGAGTGAGCTATTTTGGGTAATAATTGTCACTTTCATGATAGAATTATAGAGACATCCTAAAGCATGATTTGCGATTTTCTGAACCTGTGCCACATTTCAATGTTCACCTCCTATTCAGAGCAAGTGAGGCTGAGAAGAGGTGACTAGCTCCTGATTGAGTATTTTGAAGTGTCAGTCCTCTTAAACCTCTGAAGCCTTGCTTGATGTGTGACAGTAGTCAGGAAGTGTTCATCTTCCTGTTGAAACAAAAAGTCAATACAAAGGGAAAATCTTCGCAGTTCAGATTGATGGCCTAATACAAAAAGCGTGTCCACACCCACTCTAATCAAATTCGTCTCTAAGTAGCCTTTTATGTGTGAAATCAAGAGCATTGCTCTGTTTCTATAGGGTCACATTCTTCTCTCACAATTCTGGGGAGGAAAAAATTCACTGTAATGAAAAACGTATAGTTACATGTTAAATATTGCCAACTGCTTAATCGCCCTGAGAGTCTGGAATGGGGATGTTCATTTGATAAATACACTCCATGAGAGGTTCAAATATGTAAATAAAGTTTTATTCTAATATACTCCTTTTGTGGAGAAATTGGTGCTTTATTACTTTCCTATAGATCTTTATGATAGGAAAATAGAAATAGCCAAATGTTATTCATTTGCATGACCTTTTGGAAAAGTCTGCATTAGTCTCTTTGGTAAATAATCTGTTTTACAGCCCTCCATAATAGGAAATCAAATATAGAGATACTATTAGATTTGAAAAAGACAAACAGGAAAGAGCCAAAAGTGCAGAATGAATTCTGACACACCCGGGTGCATTTTTCTGAGGTTCTGACTTAAGTGGATACTGTCTGCATTATTCTGAACTTCCTGGCTTGCTTCTCCTTAAGTTGGAGTAATTCAGCTTTAGTCCTACTCTGAGTTAATCGTTATATTATTAAAACAATAATGTATTTGTTATGACATGAAAAAACAGTTTATAGAGAGCAGTTCACAATGATCCCAGTCTCCCAGTTCCCAGAAAGACAATTACTGGAATACAAGAAAATATTTTGGTGTATTGAAGTGTGTTTTTTAAACAGCATGTGTGTGTGTGTGTGTGTGTGTGTGTGTGTGTGTGTGTGTGTATCCATTTTTTAATGTAAGAGATCTATTTTATATGATTTGCTTACCTGTCAATTTTTTTTTTTCAGATCACAACAGTATCAGGAAATGAGTTCCTTCTACAGTCAGATATTGACTTCATCATATTGGATTGGTTCCACGCTATCAAAAATGCAATTGACAGATTGGTATGTATTTGTTTTGGCTGTTACCTTTATTAATTAAAATGTTGTCACTTAAATTGTGCTGCTTAGGCATATAACACACACACATTTCAATGGATCCTACAGATCAAGAGATATTAAGTTATTTTAAGTTTAAATAGAGTCCACTAAAAACCGTTTCCACAGACATGATTTGTGGAGCTAAATGTCATTTGATTTCTCTTTCAAAAACACAGTGCATTCATTTTTTCCCCCAAATAACATGGATATTCATTTATTAGAGGCTGTAAAAAGCACACAAGCACTTAATGACTACTGAATTTTCATATTTTCAGTTCATGCAGTCTGTAATACATATTCTTAAAAATAAATACCAACGTATTTAAGCTCATACTCACTGTTCAAACACCAGTAAATAATAATCCTTTGTACTGATTTTCATTGTTCTTCCAGCTAAGCCAGATTGTTCTTCTCATGAAAATTATGAATCTAAAACTTCATGAAATTACCCTAAATCATACATTCAGAGAATCAGATTATTGAAAACTACCATTTTATACTGATTCTAGACCAAACATCTAATTTTAGGACACTAATATTTGCAAAATCTTAGAAAGAAATATTCTTGAGAGCTTTTAATAAGGTATACAATAGGAAAATATAGCATTTTCTGTGTGGTTTTATTGCTATTTAATTGCAGTCATCCTTTATTTCATTTTGGGGTTAAAACTTAAAAAAATAACCAATTGACTTTTCTCCATCATCAATATGTTAATATTATCATCATCCCCTTATCCAGACATGCTTGAGTGCCCACACCCACATTCACCCACCCACAGACAGAGTGTGTTGTCATTAAGAGTGGACTCTGGAGTCAAACTGCCTGAGTTTGAATCCTGGTTCTATCCTTTACTAGCTGTGTGGCCTTAGGCAAATTACTTATCTCTTTTGGCTTCAGTTTCCTTGTCTGGAAAGTAAGGGTAATAATAATACCTACCTCATAGGATTACTGTGATGATTAATTGAGTTAATACATGTGGAATACTTGGGGTGATGCACAGCACTTAGTAAGTTTTATATATATATATGTATATATATATGTATGTATATATATATCTATATATATATCTATATCTATGATTAAAGGCCTTATCCCAACGTAATTATCTTAGTTCAATCTTCCCTTTAAATCTAACATCAAAATAGATCTGTAAATTATTTGGTGAATCCTTTCTTCCTTGTGAAATTATTCAAGTCTAATTGTTTGTTATTTCCAGCCAAAGGATCCAAGTGGTTCATCAAGAAACCTGGAATTATTCAAAATCCAGAGATCCTCCAGTACTGAATTACTAAGTCACTACGATAATGATATAAAAGAACAGAAACCAGAGCACAGAAAATCTTTAAGTAAGTATTTTTTTTTACTTGTTGATTTTAACTTTGTCTAAATGCAATGCTTATGAAATATAAATGCATTGAAATAAGATTTGAGCCAAACTCATACTACTCATGGAAGATTCGCAGCCATTTCCTGGCCAGGGAATCATGCACTGGAGGGCAGTCTGGGTGCTTTGCTAGCGTCATTGTTGGTAATGCCTTTTGAGAAAATAATTGTTCCAAGGTCATGGTCTCTGCTTACAGCAAACCTCTGAATCTCTGAGTAATAGCCAGGGCATTCGGATTGGTGATTGATTTTGAAAGTGGGAAATGTCAAGCATCTCTAAACCTTGGTATGCTGACTATTTGATTTCCATACATTAAAAAATGTGTGAGTGACCACCACAGTTGGCTCAACTTAAACCAACAGGCTATGCAACTTTCCACACCTTCAGGCCACCAAAAAATTGTAGAAATGTGGGTTGTGAATTATATGTTCTGCAGGGTCATATCTAGTTCTAATATTCTGAAACAAATGAATTTGGAGTAGAAAGGTCCAATCTCACCATATAGCGAACTTGAGTAGATCTCTCAAACTTGTCCAACCTGTTTTCTCCTCAATAAAAGGGGATTATGAGAAGGTGTCACACATATCTCACAGTTGGTTTGAGTTTCGGCCTCCTGAAAGGTATCTCTGAAATCAAAGCAGGTGTCTCCGAAATCAAAGAAAACCAATTTCCCCAATTCTCAAAAATTATAGTACTTTTCCTGGATCAGCTACCTAGGCACCCTCGATCTTCTGAATCGCTATTTTTTCCTGCCATCTCCCTCTGATCTAAGATCAGTATAGTTACATACTACCTCTTTGATTTAAAGAGAATTCCATAGATAGAGAAGGGCTTTTAACAGAATATCTACACATGAACATGAGTACATATGCTAAATGACTCTATGTGTATATACATATATTTGTGTGCATCAGGAAGACTATATATATATATATATATATATATATATATATATATACACACACACATACATATATATATATACACATATATATGTATATATAAACATAGATGCACTCACACGCATATGACAAGGAAGAGAGAAGCCATTTGTATATAGCATATCTTCCAGAGCTAAGTTATTCTAGATCTTAAGAATCTAGAAATAGCATGACAACTTTGAGTAGAAGCACCGTTTCAAAATTAAGTCATAATTCAAAAACTCATACCACAATACAACAACTGCTAGAAACATATTTAGCTAGCCAGTTGTGTTAAGTAGGAGTTTAAAATGATCGATGTTGATGTCTTAAACTGTATGGTGCTTGCAAATTAAGTTATTTGCCATTTAAAAATATTTTTCCGTAACGTGGGGCAGTTTGGAGTTATCTCATTTTGAATGTTTCCCTTTAGTTCCTGGTCATTGTTCCCCTTTACTTAATATGGGATCAAATTTAAGGTAAGATTTTAGAATTAGAATTCAACTGTGAGAATGTTAATGTCATGTGAATATGTGAGCATGTTACTGTTAATTATATGAACATTTTGTTGTATATATAATAGGATGTATGAGGCAATGATTAGTAGAGATTTGGAGGATACCCTTACATGCTTCTAAAGCCTAAAGCTTGGGAGAAAATAAAGTTTTGTAAAGGTGTTTCAGAAACATTGAGGCAAATAGATTCTGTGTTCAGCACAATGTTTGAAATGTTTTAGGGGAAAAAAAAGTTCCTACAGATAAAATCCCAGCTACTCCTCTTTAGTATTTATTTTTGATTGAGAAAGACAATTATTTGTCTATTTGGGGCTTAAATTCAATCCTGCATAGAGACAAGGGAAGAAACATATGATTTATTCTACTCATTTAAAAATGTACCTAATTCTCTAGTGACCTCTTATTCACTCTTCCCTTTGCAGTTAAAAAATAATGACAGGTAGCAAATATTGAACCCTTACTTTTCACCAGGAATTGTTCTAAGTTCTTATCTATGTTACTCACTTAGTCCTCCCACTAACCTAGCAAATCAGGTACTACTAACACAATTTTATAGATGAGGAAACTGAGGTGCAGCGAATTAAGGCAGTTTGTACAAAGACAAGTTACAGAGACAAGTTTCAAATCCATTCAGGTTAATATTAGAGCCTCTGCTTTTAACCATTATACTATGGTGAAGTGAACAAATAAAAGGTAAATTTAGTTTGTATCAACTTTGGACTTGGATGGATATATTACATTAAAAATGAGATCCATAGAAATCATTAAGCTTAATAGGGACCCAAAAACATATTAGCAAAAGAATTAAACCCAGATGTCTTTGGGATTTGATCTAACTATTAAAATAAAAGGGTCATTTAATCTTTAATGCTAGCCCTAATTTTAGAAAATGCTTCACTTCTATATTTTGATGGATATTTATAGTTGTAAGCCCTTTTTAAGGCTAGTATATATTTTTGCAACGTAGAATACAGTTAATATCCATCTATTATTTTAAATCAAGTTCATTCACTATTTATGTATTGATTTTCATTTGAAAGGCAAAATGATTGACTTACCCACACAATATCAAATTAGACTATGCACTTGAAATAGTGATTGGCATATTTTATAGTTGCTGTTTTTTTAAATATTTTTTCAAGTAAGAAATATACTGTGTGAAACCCCTCTGATCTAAGTCCTAGATTTGAACACCCAAACTCAGTTTTTTAAAACATGCATTCAGTTTTATGTTACCCTCTTGAGATTAAATAATTTTGTGGAATTAGAGATTCATAGTATCTCCTTCCTTATTAGTAGTCTAAGCACAAACTTTATTGTCAGTTTGCTGCCTTTGGCTTCCTGTGCCCTTGACGTTCCCATGAGTTTTGTCGCCAAGATTGTAGACAGATAAAGCCAGAATTACTTTTTTAAAGGCATGTGAACATCATTAGCAGCTAACAGGTGGTCATTTCATTGTCCAGTTTCTCTGTGTAACATGGGAAAAATTATGTACTCTCAATAAGCAAATTGTGAAAGTTAAGTGCTTAAATATACTTTCCTTTTAAAAATATGATTCTAACCTGCCAACACTATTAAGGAATAATCAGATATTTTAAGATATCAGTTGAGTTGAACAGACAAGAAGCCAGAAAATTCAATGTAAGGGCCAAATCACTGTGGGAAATTCAGGACACCAGCATTGGATGAGAGTGGGAGAGCAGCTCTCCAGGGAGGGCTGTTAATGGAAGTGGAGAGTCAATCAAAGAAAATGCTAGCACATTTTTCCAAGGAAAGAGAAGCATCTTCCACTGATGGCAGAGGAAAAGCTCAAATATAAATCCTGCATCAGATAACCTTGGAGAGGTTTCTTAATTTTCTGAGCTTTACTTTGCAGGTCTATAAAAATGGGTCTAATACCCATTGTATATCTTTGCAGGATAGTGTGATTATCTGAAAGTAGATATGTAAATACTTAGCCCATAGCAGGTATTCAATGAGTAGGAACTCTTATTATCATCCTGTGTCCCCAAAGCAGATGGTACCAAAATAGGGCATGAACCGGGGGTAGTGTCTAATGGAAGACTGGAGCAGGACATATATACTCTTCCTCCTCTCCTCAAGTATAGAGAAAATAGGGGGAAAAAAACAGAATTGGATATGGGACTCATAGCTGCACAAATCTAAATATGAGCAGCTGGTCTTTCTCCTGGCGACTCCCCCGGTGAAAATGGCAGCCAGCGTGTCCTTGGGAGCAGCTCACCAGGAAATAGTAGAAGGGAGCCAAGAGATGCTCTTCATTCTTTTATGCCCAGAACTTCATGAAGAAGTTCCAGGTGATGGAAAGGATTCAACATCAAACCATTTCACTATTCCTTTAGACACAGCTTTAGTTTATTCATTCACTCATATATTCATTCTTTGTCGTTAACAGATATACCTAAAGGTATACAACTAAAATTCTTGACTTCACTCATCTGCACTTTCAATTTTTTTAATATAAGTTTTGTATTTGGGTTTTGCCTTAGAAGTAATATACCTCATGCTAATCAAGTACTAAACTATAAAATTCATGTGTGGAGAACTTGGATAATTTTTATATAATATTGACACTTTTAGCATTATAAATATGCACCCCAAAATGAACATGAGTTAGAAGAATAAAATCAAAAAGTAAAAGAACTGAGGAAAGACTGGGTGGCTCAGTCAGTTAAGCATCAGTTAAAACTCTTAATTTCAGCTTAGGTCATGATCTCACAGTTTATGGGTTCAAGCTCCGCATCAGGATTTGTGCTGACAGTGCAGAGCCTGTTTGGGTTTCTCTCTCCCACCGCACCCCCCCCCCCCCCCCCCCCGCTGTCCCTCTCCAGCTCACGTGCTCTCTCTCTCTCTCTTTCTGTCTCCCAAAATAAATATTTTAAAAAGTAAGAGAACTGAAAAAAATGAGTCTCTTATTATTATTATTATTATTATTATTATTAATTATTGCCATTTTGCAGATGAATTTTCTTTTAGCTGTCTTTTGATTAAATTTTCATAAAAAACAAATGTATAAATTTCTGGGTGAAATCCTAAAAGTATTTAGATATCGATTTCCCAATTCGATTGCCCCTTAGTAACGTGCATAGTAGGGGTGTGTGTACAAGGCTATAGGAATGAAATTGGGAGTGGAAAATTTGGAATGAAATATTCATACAATGTAGAAAATGAAAATACTTGTGAACCTTTAATAATATCTTTGTTTAAAATTTTGTCTGCAAAGTAATCATGATCATGCCAAGTGAAAACAAGTCTGATAGAGAAGACAGTTATTTTTTGTGCTAATCTAAATAATTATAACACTGGCCATCCACAACAGTAAGTAGACTATGTTCTCAAAATCCAATTGTAAACTGGTTGCTTAGATCTCAACACATTTTCATAAGGAAACCACGTACTAGCCACAAAAGCACACTTAAACCTTATGTAATCATTTAGAATGTTGTTTTTAGGGAACAGCTTGTTCTGAGTTTGCTGTACCTCTGGCCCTAGGAGCTAAGACTTTCCAG